AGCACACTACATAGAATGTCCTTCAACAATAACATCGTAAATTCGTCAACTATCCCATAAGGTTAAAATACAATATTCACTTAAAAGTAAATACATCTGGGGACGGTGCTACATATCCGGGATCGACGAACATTTCATTAAGTGGATAAAAGCAAAGCCAAGTCTCCTTCTCATTAATTAAACTACATAAGTCATTCATCTTCGTGTTTAAATATAATTTAAGTTCATCAACCAATCTAACCCCCCCTTGTTACTTATTTCCAGTTTTATAAAAAAGAGAAGTATTTCTTTCCCTGTGGATACGAACCTTACTACACTATACTACGTATTAGTATTGTATTGATTAATTACTTTGAGTGCACACCACGACAAAGTGCACGTCACTACTCATTTGTTTATATGGCAGATAGATATGAAACAATCTTCATTGTGAATTGATGTGTTTTATGGTAAGCCAATCGTAACATGAAATTCTCATATAGTAGTAACATAATGCTAGTTTATGATTAGAATTATTACTGATTTTCTGGGGTCATAACACTGGCAATGAGTTGCAAAATACATAATTTATCTAATCGAAAGGATTTCAACCATCTATATTCTATATGCTCCAACTTTCACCCCTTAACTCTGCCCTTTAGTATAATTCTGATTGGACCATCATTTTATTTTAAAGTGTCTACATTTCTTGATATCGTTGGTATTTTGTAATCTAATTTTGAGGGCATTAATTTTAAAAATTGCTTTATACAAGTATCATTTATATCAGCTTGTACATTTAGCAATCATACATAAATAATCTTAATTCTTAACTAGACAAAAGCTCCATAAAATGAACAAGTTTTTAGTTGCTCGTAACCACTGATCTAGTTAACTTTCTTTTGATTTGTAAACAGTGATCATATCCTTCCATCCTCATACTACGTATGAAAGAATAGAATGAAGAGACAAATTATAATTAGAGATTTTTCTTTAGCAGATTGACTTTTTTTTAGGTATGTCCACTACCCTCAGTCCCTCACACACGCTGACACAAACATATACGATTAAGTACATTAATAATTTAGGATGTTTTCTTTAGGACTGAAATTTGCTGGTCTGGTCTGTTTAAGTCTGGTCTGGTCTGTTTAAGTCTGGTCTGGTCTGGTCTGGTCTGAACTGGTCTGGTCTGGTCTAGTAAACGTCTGGTCTCTGTGTATTTTATAACTACGGAAGTCTGGTCTGGTCTGGTTTGGTCTGTTTAAAGGAGTGTTTGGGATTGCTTTAAAAAAGCGCTTTTTAGCTTTTGGCTTAAAAAAAGCTGAAAAGAGTGTTTTCAAATGACAGCTTCTGCTTAAATTAATCACTTAAAAGCTAAAAGCTGGAAGCAAGTAGAAGGGTGCTTTAAACTGCTTCTCACTTTTTCTATTACACAAAAAGTACTTATTTTACCAAACACTACCAATTTTTACTTTTTCAGAATTACATTTTTCTCAAACACTACCAACTTTTACTATTAATCACTTTTCCCAAAATCACTTTAAAAAATCACTTTTTTAAAGTTAAAGCAATTGCAAACACTCCCTAAGTCTGGTCTAGTCTGGTCTGGTCTGGTTGGGACTGAAAACAGTCCAAAAGAAAACATCCTTAAAGTATGATTAGAACATATATATACCGTTTTCTATGTAGAACCACTCAAGTCAATTATTTTTTTGACCTTTATCTAAATAATACGGAGTGTTGGTAATTTCTGTTGCAACAATTTTGTTTAAAAAAAATTTCTGCTTAAAAAAAAGCACTTTTGGAGTGATTTGGAAAAAGTGATTATTTGTAAAAGTTGATAGTGTTTGAGAAAAAAGTGATTTTGAAAAGTAAAAGTTGGTAGTGTTTGGTAAAATAAGTGCTTTTGGTGTATAAAAATGGGAAATGCACTTTTGACACGAAAGCCGAGAAAAGTAAAAAATTGGTAGTGTTTGGTAAATAAGTGCTTTTTAAAGCCAAAAGCTGAGAAATGCTTTTTTTAAAGCGGTTGCAAACCAGTCCTAAATAAAACTCAATCAGCACATAAGAAAATGAAAAAATGTAATATATTTCAGTGTAACATCATGGCATGCAATGGTATGCATGTCTTGACTTTTGATGGTGTGACTCATTTAGTTGACTTTTCACCCTCAAATCTCCCCATTGCGGGAGGTCTTGAATTCAAACCCACCAATAGAAATGGGGATGTCTTGCTAGTAATGAATCCCTATCTTCACGGAGTAGTTCAACGACTTGGAAGGGAGTGTATGATAATGAATGTAGCGAGTTCGTGTAGCGCGATGACTAGTATGACAATGGTGATGTAAGTTATTGATACACTTGTAATTTCCGTGTGTATGTTTACGTTTTTAGCTAGTTTTGGTTGTTTAGTATTTCGGAAATTACACACTTTTGGTGTAATAGTTTAGTTTGTTGAATTCTTGTAATTTGTTTAGATTAGGGTCATTCTGAGCTCAAACAGGTCTACCATCACTCAAAGGACAGTTGGTGAACCCCAAAAGTGGAAGGAAGGTGCAAAATCACAAGACAAAAGGGAAAATCCTGATTTTGGTCTATACTCGGTCGAGTATTACCTATACTCGATCGAGTATAAGGTTGAAACTTCAAATCGGATCGGATCCGAAGACAAAGGAACATGCCGGGAAGATTTTGGCCACGATTTAGTGTCTATACTCGATCGGGTAGACCGACATACCCGATCGAGTATGCCTTTGAGTTTAAATCCGAAATCGGTCGAGTATGGCTCGAATATCACTTTCTGCACATACTCGACCGAGTATGAACATATACTCGATCGAGTATACCTCGAATCTGGTATTTCTACACATACTCGATCGAGTATCTGTATATACTCGATCGAGTACCCGAGCCTGCACCTCAAAAAGCCTATAAATACACCTCCTTTCCTTCACTTTAAGACACCAATTCCTATATACTCTTAAGCTCAGTTTAGAATAGCATTTCTCTATATTTCTTTTAGCATGTTTAGTCTCCAAATGAGGAGCTAAACTTCCATTTCTTGGTATTGCTCTTGAAGCTTGTTGATTATTAAAGTTGTGAGTTATTTTCTTAACCTCTTTCCTTAAATATTAATTCTTTCTTCAAATACTATTTCTATATCAATGTTGGGGAGTGTTGCTAAGATGACAATTAGTTAACATCTTGATATTGGTCTTAGTAATAGCTATTCCTTCCTCTATGTTAATATTGGGGAGTGTTACTAAGATGACAATTAGTCAACATCTTGATATTAACTATAGTAGGATTCATCTTCTTTAATATTCTTCCTTGAGTATTAATTAATCCCTAATCATATTGCATATTAATATTTTGAACATTACTTAAAGGATCAACTAGTTTTGTTTCATATATTAATTATTACTAGAAACGATCAACGAACCGATGGTTAATCGTTGATAGTTTCACAAGTAAGTAACTTCGGTTTATTAATGCACGGTCGTGGTTAATAAACTTAAGAGGGATTAATTTTGTTGGTTAAACCGAGACCGTTGTGTTGAGGTTATCAATCTCAATTGATTTCATCAAGGAATTAAAAGATTAAATGCTACTATCAAGTCGGTATATGGCGTTGTTCTATACTTGACTAATAGTAAGGGTTATTAATGAACGGTCGTTGTTAATAACTATCCTCGATGAATTGGATATACTCCTCGATTGAGTATTCGAGAGGAGATAAGTTATAGATATAACAATGATCGACTAAAATATATCAACAAGTGTAAAGTAGCAATACCAAGTCCCTTTTATTCTTGAATTTAATCCCATATAACTCGTTCATCTTCGTGTTTAATTTAATTAAATCACTCAACAACCAAAACCCCCCTTTTCATTTACTATTTATATAAAAAGAAAGTTAGTCCTTTCCCTGTGGATACGAACTCTACTACACTATACTACGTATAAGTGTTAGTATTGAATTTAATTTGAGTGCACCTCACGACAAGTGCACGTCAGTTATGCTGAATTCGTTTTTTTGGAGCCTAATATCAACGAAAGGTGATTGTGATCAAATTTGGATTTAACCTTGTAGTGTCTTAGTTCATATACTCCTGGATTATGTGAGCGCAAACATAAAAAAACGAGTCATTAAAAAGTGAACACCCTAGCCATCTTCAATTCAATTTTGGAAAGTGAAGCGAACCAAGTGGATCATGTCACATACTTAAAATCCTCCCCATGTGGGAGGCCTTGTTTCTAAGTCATCAAGCATATGAAGTTGGGGGCTCTTATCAAATGATCTTTTAGCGCCATGACTAGCTTGAGTGTAGCTTGAATGGTGGTACAATTAGTAGTTCGTCTCGTCTGAAATTATTTAGAGTGAGAATTATCTTCATCCTAGGAATTTGGCGAGCTATGATCAACCAATGACTATTCAAAATGAATCTGACAAAAGTCACCACTTGTAGACAATGGTGTGTATATAAGCGTTAGGACCTAACAAATTGTTCCAGCACTTGGAATTTGCACCCAACAATGGTGTATGTACGTGTATACAAGTGTCAAAGGGATTGTGGTTATTTTTTTCGAAAGCACAATTAGCTGGACCAAGTTGGAAAGTTGGTGCTAAAAAAACAAAGAAAATGAATATCTACCGACTACCATGGGATAAATGGTAACACTAGGGGGTAGGGGTATAAAGCTAGAACGGCCTGATGAGACTTTTTCTAGTTAGTACACACCACAATATATGAAAAAGGACACCATGAGACTCCCAACATCGATCAGACAGTTAGATGAGAGGATATAAGTTGAATTTTAATCACAAACAGGAGATAGAGAGTGAGACAGACTCTATGCATTTTTAGACTAGTAACCCCTCATAGCAGTTGACGGGATCCAAATTGTGACACTCCTATCTACGCTACGCCCACGGGTCAAACCACGATATAAGAAGAATACATCTTGTCACGTCGTCAAAAAGAAGGGCGCGCGGCATCTTCAACTCTACGCCATAATTCCCCTTTTCTATTGGCCATCTTCGGACACTATCATTGCCAATTGCCATGCCCTTTTACTCTTTCCAACACACGCACGCCTTCCTTCATTTCTTCCACACCCCCATTAATTGTAAGTCTCCTCTCTATCGATCCTGGCCTCAACACAACAATAAGATCATGAAAACAGAGCATCATGGTTTCACCGCTCTAACAAGATCCAGCAGCTGCAAACAGAGCTCCGGGAAGATTGTGCCTTCCAGTTATTATTACCAGCGCTCCACTTCTCATGCTACCTCCGAGGACTTTTCCGATAGAACCCCGATCGGGAGCGGCGCCGCCGGTGGTGGAAGCTCTCCTGTTGACTTCCGGCGGCTGGGCAAGATTACCCGGATAAACGGAGTCTCTGCTCTTCTCAGGTCGTTTTTGAATCTTATATCTTTCCCGGCTGCGTGCACTTGGCTTCACTTGCCCACACGGATGTCGGTATCGGCGCCGCCTCTCGGGCGTAAAGTAGCCGGGACGCTGTTCGGGCATCGGAGAGGCCACGTCAGCTTCACCGTCCAGGATGACCCCCGCTCCGAGCCGGCCCTTGTGATCGAGCTGCCCGTTACGACGTCGGCGTTGGTGAAGGAGATGGCGTCCGGGCTTGTCCGGATCGCGCTGGAGTGCGAGAAAGCCGCGCCTTCTCCGACTTCTCGTCGCGGCGGAGGAGGGGGGCATGCAGTGAAGCTTTTCCAGGAGCCGGTGTGGACTATGTACTTGAACGGCAGGAAGTGCGGGTACGCGCAGTCGCGGCTGTGCACGGCGTCGGACTGGCACGTGCTGAGCACCGTGCAGAGCGTGTCAGTGGGGGCCGGGGTGATTCCGGTGGTGGAAGACGGCGGAAAAGGCAGCGGCGTAGCGGAGGGGGAGCTTCTGTACATGAGGGCACGGTTTGAGCGAGTTGTGGGGAGCCGAGACTCGGAAGCGTTTTACATGATGAACCCGGATGGCAACGGTGGGCCTGAACTCAGTATATTTCTTCTCAGGATATAATTAAATAATAAATCGTCAAATACTAAACTTAGGAAATAAGAACATTATCATAGATCTTTGTTGACAATTAATGACGACCACGACTGTAGGTTTGGAAACATTAGCATATAATATACGGGGAGTATATATGATTTTACTCCATACAAGACTGTGACTGTGAGTCATTTTGATTTATACGTAGTCATTAATATAGTCTCAAGTCTTTTAATAGGTAGCTTAAGTCTTTCTTCATTTCAAATCCATTTTGGATGATGTCCCAAGCATTTCAATGCACCATACAACCATGGCATTTTTTAAGATTGGATGTTTGGAAGACGACATTTCAATAAGTGTAATGGTAAATAGTTGTTCATCTCTACATTTTGGAACGAGATCTCTGAAATTAAATGAAATCACAACAAATAAGAAAGTTTTAGATTAGCATTTTGAAATATGACATTTTCACGTAATGGCTAAATAGTTGAATTATCGAACACTTTGTGACAACCCACTAACTTATTCCACATGTCAAACCTGTCGACTGAATTTCCTATTGATGTTAATGATTGAGCTTAAATAGTGTTGACGTTGTTTTGTTACCTTGTCAATATTTGAGGTCCGACCTTTCACTTCACGTTAATAGATGTGATTTGATAATACTAATGACTTCTAGTTCAATTGGGGTGAGAGAGGAGGCATTGTGATTTATGAAACTTGACTTATGACTCAAACGTTATAGGTTCAAGTCTTGTGTGCCTTTGATGGACTAGAGATTTTATAGTTTAAATGATAAAATTAGACTATGTTGCACGAGCTGTCTGTGTACACAGATTATGTTGCACGAGATGTCTGTGTACATAGACAACTATAAGGTATATAAGTTGTCTGTGTAGACATACAATACATATAATTGTATGTTAAATGTATATAAATTTCGTGAATAAATAGAATTTTTCCTAGTTATTATTCCGGCTAAAGTTAGCAAAGTTTTGACTATAATTGATGAGTTTTTTTTTGGTGTACCCACTTTAGTACGCACTTTTGTACATTGCCTGTGTACACAGACAATTGGGAAATAAATGCTACATTCTCCTTAACGAACTGCATGTGTACATAGGCAAAATAGGGAATTTTTTTTTAGGAAATGTGAATACAAAAATGAGTACAAAAGTTGGTATAAACAATTTTTTTGATAATTGATACGGATGGTTTGTTTGTTCTTTCAAATTTTACCTGCTCCGTAGTTATAAGTGGGGTCAACATTCTTGTCATCTCCCTTCACTAGATTCAGGAAGTCAACAAGTAACTTGCACCATTATATTTAGAAACATATTTCTCGTTGTTAAGCTTTTCTTAATTTCTTCGATTCTGTAACTTCATTAACTCAGTGCGTACTCAGTTAGCTATGGAACCTAGGGCTGGGACCGGTTCGGTTCTTACTCAAAATGAGTGGAACCGTTATAAAAGTTTTAACTAATGAAATCGGTTCGGTTCCTATATAAAAAATCAAGAACCGTTATGGAACCGAACCGGTAGTAAACGGTTCGGTTCTTCCTTTTACCGGTTCCTAGAATAATTTTTTCTCGTCTAAGAATTAACACATAATTTTAAACACGTCGAAAATTCAAAACACGAGTATTAAAATTTTATTTGAAGCTCTAATCACTTCAAACATCAAAGCTCAAACTTAACTAATGAACTTTGAACACTTAATAGAACAAAAGTGATATAAATTTTCATGTAATAAATGAAACATTAAAAATCGTTGTAGTGTCGTAGCGATGAAGGTTACTCGTCATCATAGTAGCAAGAATAGGACGCCTACTTCAAGTCTTTCAAAACATAAAAAAGGCATTGAGTTTGCATGTATAGATATAAAAAAACATTATTACATCCTATTGATTCATAATAAATCTAATAATTAGAAATATCATGAAAATAGTAAAGTAAAATATGTGCAATCAACTACAAGTTATTTGGGTTATTTTATATTTATAAAATTTATGTGATGGAACAAAACTTGATTTGTAGAAAGGAGTTTAATGTATTTATCAACCTCATGTACAATATTTATTACTTCTTTTCTGTTAATCAAATTAGAATTGTTAGTTAAATATCTTATATTGTTTTATTATTGTTGTTGTGGTGGTGGTTATTATTGCTATTATATTATTATTATTGTTACTAGTTACTAGTTACTACTACTACGTACTACTAATATTATTTTATTTTTTATTTTTTTTAATAACGGTTCCTTAACGGTTCCATGCACATATTTTTTATAGGAACCGGGAACCGAACCGTTATAACCCGCTTCGGTTCGGTTCCTACAAATGAGGCATTAATTGTTAACGGTTCGGTTCCTAGATGTTGTTAACGGTTCGGTTCCAATCGGTTCTACGGTTCCCGGTTCCAAAATCCCACCCCTAATGGAACCTGCACCAAATGCCTACTCGATCCCACAATTTTAGAATTGATCAAAGCTCGATTAGCCCATTTAAGAGGAGTTATGGACAGTTGGACACTATCTAAAACAACTTGATAATCATTATACATAATGTGAAAATTTGATAAAAAAAACACAAGATTAGGAATATGGTCAAATAAATCTTTCTACTATTTTCACTGTATGTATCATACAAACTCATGTACTACAAAAGTACAGTAGGCTTACTCTAAAAAATGATCGATCAATGTTTACGTCCATGTAAACAGTTTTTCACCTCTAGTAACACGTTTCCTTATATTCTCTTTAAGAACTTTTCTGTTTCTAATTTCGAAAGCTTAACATATACAATGCTGAAACATTTCGATGAAAAATACTACGTAATAAGCATCTTTTCACTTTCTATTCTATTGTCAAATTGCACGATGTATTTGAAAAAATGTTGAAAATTTGATCTCGTCTTTTATTATACGTACAATTTTTTGGAACTTTCAATTCTATGCTCTCAATATAAAAACATTTCAACTAATAGAAGACATCGTAAAAATTTTAAAAGATTTAACATGGTTTTAGTCCCTAATCCCTATGTATAGTGTCTTCTTTGTTCTACAATGTTTTTATATTTTAAGTACTCGTAATACATTTTAATCTTCTCAGTTTACTTTTGACCTTTAAATTAAACCATTTTTGTTTGACAACAAAATAGCATCAATAACGTGATTTTTGTCTTTCTTCGGGCCATTTCAATTTTAAATTGATACTTCAATTTTATTTTTAGGCAGTCTTTGAGATATGATTTACATTAAAAAATGTGAATGATTAGTTCCATTCAAACTTACCTGTAATTAATCAGTCTTAAAATGGAAAAAATGGTGTGAATATTACTGCTACACTTTGCAAGTCTCAATTATGTCCCAATGATTCAAGATGTTTTGGATTCTTCTTGTTGATATCTACGACTACTTAACAGACACCAATTCAACTCCAAATTCCTAGTACAATATAAGGTATGAAGCTTACAAACAATCTTTCGAAAGGACAAATCTTTCTAAAACAATCTTTGGAAAACAAACTGGTTTACTTATTTGATTGTAACTCTCAATACGATGGTTCAAATCCGATGATTCAAGCATAGTTATATTCGTCTCGTTGTGATCTACAACTCTTCAAAAGACATCAACTCCAAATTCCGAACACAATAGAAGATGGAGATCTTACGAACAACCTTTCGAAAATGAACAATCTTTCGAAAATGAATGGTTTTACTGATTTAGTCATAACATTCGATTGGCTACACCAAATCGGGTGGTTCTAGAAATTGGAAAATCAATCGTGCCTTTAATTGATCAAATGGGTTACGTAAATACAAGTGTATCACTATGAGTTTAGATAAAACTATACTACATAAATATAAATATGCTAACCAACTATCTAAGTGATATACATGAGTCACCTGGGTATTATCAACATAATAATTAAATACTAAAGAAATAATACTAGTAACAATAATCAAACGTGCAGCTCCTTGTTCCGTAATACCCGTATTACGTCCTTGTACATGCAGGCGTTATTAAGCCCCCACAGTTGAAGCGGGCGGTGGTTGGACGCTGAGACTGGACCGGAAATCTTGGAAGAGAACTCGGGGAAGCCCTTTTGTGAATATATCGGCAAACTGATGTCGCGATGGAACATGTAAAACCCGGATGTCCCCACAAGCAACCTTTTCCCGGACAAAATGGATATCAATTTCAATATGTTTAGTTCGTTGATGTTGAACCGGGTTTCCGGACATATACACGGCGCTGACGTTGTCACAATAAACAATGGATGCTTTGTGAAGTGGAGAGTGTAGTTCGAGGAGAAGGTTTCGTAAACAACAAGTTTCGGCAACTACATACCCGACCGAGTATGTCTAGAAAAGTGATTTTCCAGGAAACTGCCTAAAATACCCGATCGGGTACCCTGTATACCCGATCGGGTACACAACCCTGCCACCTCCAAACACCATATACACCCTTTTTCCTTCACTATATGAAGTAGGATTGCTTCAATAATGTGGTAAACTTAAATTTAAAATTATGGAAATTTGATTCAATATTGAAGAATATGAAATATGAATGATTCATTAAGTTCCAAAATGTCTAACAAGTTCATGAAAAAACAAGAGCTAACTGCTCTGCTTATGTGTTTAATTATTTTGGCTAAAAAACTAATTTTAGGCTCACAAGGAATTGCGATATAAAAAGAAGAATACATTGAGTGAGTGGATGTATAACAAAAAATAGATTTTTGTTCTTAGAGTGGCATAGGTAAACACTCCGTATGTTTTTTCATTCCTTCAAATGCAACTTTTTTTTGTTATATATAGTATGTTTTCTTTTTGTTCTGTCATTTTCTTTTTTAGTTCATCCATGTCAATTTATGTTTACAAAAAAGGAGTATATAGATTGATGCTGCTCAAAAGAACTACAGTCTTGGTTTTCCATGGCATTTTTTATATGCTTAATTTTTTCATGGGCAGACTCTTTTCGTTGTCTTCTGTCATTTTCCCTAGATTAATCATTATTTTTAATGGACTATGAAAGCCGAATGTCACAGGATGACATAGAAACTTCTCCTGGAAAAACTACCCGACTCTCCTTTAACAAATGATATGCTAGGGAACTATCCAGTTGTGTATATATTCATACAACTTACTCTTATTTAGTATACACTCTTTTACTGCATGTCTCTAACTTCTTCAATTTAAATGTGTATTTTTGGGTGTCTTTGTACTAAAAGTTCTTAAGTGCAGAATCTATCACTTATTTGTATTTAGTAGACATCCTTTTACTGCAGGTCTCTAGCTTCTCCCATTTAAATGTGTATTTTTTGGTTTATTTGTAGTAAAAGTTTATAAGTGCCGAATCAGTAAATATATGGGCTTTCCCCATTTCTATAATTCTATA